CAAACCCGGAAGGTGGAGGTTGCAGTGAGCTGAGATCACACCACTGCACTCCAGCCTGCGTAACTGAGCGAGACTCTGTCTCAAAAAAAAGGCGGGGTGTGTCAAGAATGGGCTCCTTGGAGGGCTTTACTCCAGCATGGCCCCCCGGTCTCCAGGGAGCAAGTAGCCAGGAAGGGTGTGCTGGGAGCTGGTGGGAGGCCCTCAGAGGGGAGGTAGATATATAAGGAGGGGGCCAATACCTACCAATCACATGGGCTTGCCAGCCATCACCCTTCAATTCTGCTTCCGGAATTACCATGTGTGTCCACCCTGCCCATAGGCCCCCGGGCTGGCGACTACACCTACCGTGAGGGCCTTGAGCACAAGTGCAAGCGGGACATCCTGCTCGGCCGGCTCCGGAGCTCGGAGGACCAGACCTGGAAGCGGATCCGGCCTCGGCCCACCAAGACCAGCTTTGTGGGCTCCTACTACCTGTGCAAAGGTGGGTGGGCTGCAGCGGGGCCGGCAGCACAGCTGGGGCTCAGCCCCTCCACCCCCAGCCGCCTCTCTGCTCCCCATCACCGGTACACAGAACCGGGGTGGGCCTCACAGCCGCATGGGAGGAGAACGCTGGGGCCTAGGCTCCTGGGACCCATGCGGGAGGAATTCTGCATCACAATGAGCGTCTCTTGCCCTGAGCAGCTTCCAGAGGCAGGCGGGACACATTTGGGACATGTGGCCGGACCCGGAGCCCCTCACTGGCCTGTGCTCTGGAGTGGCAGGGGCCTACATGACTCACAGGGAGCTGGCTTCTCTTACCACTGTAGGGCCCTGAGGGGCTGCGGGGCGGTGTGCCCAGCAGCCACAGGAAGCATTTAGGACTGGCGCATGGTAAGGGCTCCGTCCACCTGAGCTCTCTGTCGCTCTTCTGTTGTCACTGTCCTCATTTCTGGCTCACATCAGCCTGGTTGGTATTTAATGGACATCCGTCATGTCCCTGACTTGCTTCTTTCTGGTCCCAGCCAAGCGCCTTGGTCCCGCTGTACGGCAATGTGTGAATAGCCACGAATCGTTCAGCTCTTCCCAGTGTAGCCCTTTCATTCCGTCAGCTTGCAGCCTCACAGCTCTGGAGGAGGAAACGGAGGCTTTGAGAGCGCACCCACGGCTCTGCCTCTCCCCCGACCTGGCCCCTAGCTGTGGCCTGCCCAGGTCTCCTAAACTTGCTCCTCGTCCTCCCAGCAGCCGGGCTGGTCTAAGGACATGTCACTCTTGGGTTGAAGCCTCCATCAGCCACTGCCCGTTGCCAGTGGGATGAAGTCCAAATTCTGCAACAAGGCCTACACGTGCCCGTATCCACCCCCTCACCCCTCTGCTCTAACCATTCCCCAAACGCACTGACCCTCCCTGATTCTGTCACACACGCTGCACCCTTTGAGCCTGGTCGTCCTCTGCTCCTCCTCCAAGCACCGCCTGAATCTTGGGAAGCCCTTCTCTGCGGTGCTTCCCCGTGTAATCACCCCCACTCCCACCCAGGGATCTGCCCCACTCCTCCAGGTCTGTGGCCTGTTTGTCCTTTACGCCAAGAGCCTGGCAGAGGGATGAGACAAGGCAGACTTAGAGTGGGAGGAGGAGAAAGAAAAACAGGTCCCACCCCCAGGAAATGGCAGATCTCCAGGTTCTGAGCCACCTTTCCTCTCTCCAGATGGCCCAGCCCCCGGAAATTTTGTTTTGTTTTGTTTTTGTTTTATGAGACAGGGTCTTGCTCTGTTGCTCCGGCTAAAGTGAGTGGTGCTATTATACCTCACTGCAGCTTCAACCTCCTGGGCTTAAGTCTCTTCTCACCTCAACCTCCTGAGTAGCTGAGACTGCAGGCACATGCCACCACACCCAGCTTATTCTTTAATTTTTAATTTTTTTGTAGAGATGGGATCTTTGGCCGGGTGCGGTGGCTCAAGCCTGTAATCCCAGCACTTTGGGAGGCCGAGACGGGCAGATCACGAGGTCAGGAGATCGAGACCATCCTGGCTAACACGGTGAAACCCCATCTCTACTAAAAAATACAAAAAACTAGCCGGGCGAGGTGGCGGGCGCCTGTAGTCCCAGCTACTTGGGAGGCTGAGGCAGGAGAATGGCGTAAACCCGGGAGGTGGAGCTTGCAGTGAGCTGAGATCCGGCCACTGCACTCCAGCCTGGGCGACAGAGCGAGACTCCGTCTCAAAAAAAAAAAAAAAAAAAAGAGATGGGGTCTTAATTTGTTGCCTAGGCTGGTCTTGAACTCCTTGCCTCAAGCAATTCTCCTGTCTCAGCCTCCCAAAGTCCTAGGATTACAGGCATGAGCCACTGTGCCCAGCACCCCCACCAGCTTTATGTATTATCTCACTTGATTCCAACAACCCATTCTCCATTCATGGCAAAGACAGCTGAGGCTTGGGGAGTAATGCGGAATCCTAGCCCAATTCTGTCTGACGCCAGCGTACATGCTCTTCACCATGCCATGTTATTTTTCTGGTGAATAATTGTTTTTAAATCCCTTGTATTTGCCAGGCACAGTGGCTCACGCCTGTAATCCCAGCACTTTGGGAGGCTGAGATGGGCAGATCACCTGAGGTCAGGAGTTTGAGACCAGCCTGACCAACATGGAGAAACTCTGTCTCTATTAAAAATACAAAATTAGCCGGGCATGGTGGTACGTGCCTGTAATCCCAGCTACTCGGAGGCTGAGGCAGGAGAATCACCTGAACCCGGGAGGCGGAGGTTGCGGTGAGCCAAGATCATGCCATTGCACTCAGCCTGGGCAACAAGAGCGAAACTCCATCTCAAAAAAAAAAAAAAAAAACAACCAAATCCCTTATATTTATTTAGAGACTTGTCTACTTCTTCAAAAGCAGTCCTGTGGGGTGAGTGGGGCAGGAGTGATTACTGTACTCTGCAGGTGTGGAGTGCAGAACGGGGCCTGGTGTTTGGAAAGGAATTTCCAGCTCTGCCAAGTCCTGGCAGCAGGGGGTGCAGCAGCCGCTGCGTCACCTGTGTTGGGGTACAGAAGGGGGTCTGGTATTTGGAAAGGATTTTCCAGCTCTGCCAAGTCCTGGCCGGGGGTGCAGCAGCCGCTGCGTCACCTGTGTTGGGGTGGAGCCAAGCCCTGCCTGGCTCATGGGGCTAGAGCCCCGCAGGCCGCAGCAGGGTGGCGAGGGTGCTGCGGGCTTCTGTCCCCGCCTGGCGGAACGTGTGTCCTGTTGCCTCTTTGCAGACATGATTAACAAGCAGGACTGTAAGTACGGGGATAACTGCACCTTCGCCTACCATCAGGAGGAGATCGACGTGTGGACCGAGGAGCGGAAGGGCACCCTCAACCGCGACCTGCTCTTCGACCCGCTGGGGGGTGTTAAGCGTGGCAGCCTCACCATCGCCAAGCTCCTGAAGGAGCACCAGGGCATCTTCACCTTCCTCTGCGAGGTACCGCCCGCCCACCCACTGCCACCCCATAGGCCATGGCACAGACAGGGCCGGGGATGCTCCCTGGCACGGACCACCATAGGAGGTCAGCCCTGGAACCAGTAGGCTGTGGAGGCCTGGCTTTAGAACCAGTAGGTCCTGGAGGGTCAGTAAGTCAGGGCCCTAGGATCCTGTCTGGCTAGAGGCCAAATCTGATCCAGCCCCCTCATTTTGCAGAGGCAGAAACTGAGGCTGGAAAGAAAAATCGTAACTCTTAACGCCTGCTCTTTCCTGACAGCCGGTCACAGGCCAGGCTTGGCATGTGGTTGTTTCTGTTTCTCATTCCCAGCCTGGTGCAGCGGCGCACGCCTGTAATCCCAGCACTTTGGGAGGCTGAGGCGGGCAGATCAATTGAGGTCAGGAGTTTGAGACCAGCCTGGCCAACATGGTGAAACCCTGTCTCTACTAAAAATACAAAAATTAGCTGGGCGTTGTGGTGCATGCCTGTAGTCCCAGCTAGTTGGGAGGCTGAAGCAGGAGAATCACTTGAACCTGGGAGGCAAAGGTTGCAGTGAGCCAAGATCACGCAACTACACTCGAGACTCCATCTCATAAAAAAGTTAAAAATTATCTGGGCTTGGTGGCATGCACCTCTGGTCCCAGTTCCTCAGGAGGCTAAGGTGGGAGGATTGCTTGAGTCCAGGAGGTAGAGGCTACAGTGAGCCAAGATCGAGCCACTGCACTCCAACCTGGGTGACAGAGTGAGACCCTATTCAAGAAAAAAAAAAGAAGTCATTTCCATTGTCACGGCAGTGCTGGCAGGCAGATATCCCCATTTTACAGATGTTGAGGCTGAGATTCAGGGTAGCGAGGAGCTGCCCTCAGCCACATGGACAGTGCCGTGCAGAACTGAACTTCAAACCCAGGCATTCTGCCCCTGGAGTCATGCCCACCTCCCAGCACCAGCTGCCGCTGGTGGTCCCCACAGCCAGGCCCCCAGGACACAGGCAGGTTGAGGGCCTGTCCAGGGCTTCCCCTTCATCCCTTGTTGTGGGTATGATGTATTTGGCACTGCTCAGCGATTCCAAGTGCCGTGTCCACGGCCCCACATCTCAGGCCTCCCCCACATGCCTTCCCTCGGCCCTGCTGGCTTCAGTGGCCATTGCACTTCCTGCCTGTAGCTGGCTGTGCCCTCCCCACAGGGCACTGTCCTGTGTTTCTGGGCTTGGAGCCTCTCAGCTGCACTGTGATCCCAGCAGCGCCACTGAGCTGCTGTTAATTCTCTCCCCAAAGCTGTCCCTGAAAACCCCACTTGGCCTCCGGAGTGAACTTGGCCCCTGCCTCCCCACCCAGTCGTAGCATGTTGAGGGCAGGGGCAGTGGCACGTCTGTGTCCGCAGAGCAAGGGCTCCAGGTCCGGGTTGCTGGCAGGGTTTGCTGTGGCTCAGTCCAACCCTCATCCCTGGCACTACCAGCCCTTCCCCCAACTCTTTGAGGTCGGGACTTGTGCCAACCCCCTACGGGGAGCATTGGCCTGGGAATCATAGTTCATAGCCAGGTGATCGCCTATAGTTCATAAAGCACTTGCCATTCCTTTTTATATATATATTTTTGATGTGAAGTAACCCCCTGCCCCAGGCATTGGGAGTGGTGGGATCAGAGAGAGGGAGGAGGGAGAGGAAGGGAGCCAAGGCCCAGGTCACCTGTGAGCTGGAACCAGAGAGACAAGGCCACAGCCCCAGGGATTCCCTTCCTCGCTCCTCTGACCCAGGGCAGGGCTTGCAGGGACCCAGCTGTCCTTCCCCAGGTAGCTATGCGGGATCCCAGCTCACCCCCTTCTCAGGTGGCCATGCCAGGTCCCAGCCCTTCCCCTCCCTGGGCAGATCTGCTTTGACAGTAAACCCCGGATCATCAGCAAAGGCACCAAGGACTCTCCGTCTGTCTGCTCCAACCTGGCTGCCAAGCACAGCTTCTACAACAACAAGTGAGTGGGACGCTCAGCCCAGGCTGGGGCCTGGGGGCTACTGGAGAGTCAGCTCAGATGGCTGAGGAAAGACTGAACTGAAAGAGTGGACCTAGGGTGCAAGGAAAGGGACAGAATTTGGGAATCAAATCCAGCCTCCACCTGGAAAGGATGCGAATCACATTTATCGAACATCTACTATATTCCAAGCATTGTCTTGGGTATATTAATTATCTTAGCAGTCCTATGAGGAGGAATTACTGGCCCTTTTGAACAGAAGAAAAAGCTGAGGCTTGGAAGTAGCTTACTCAGCTGACAGCGAGCAGGGGGCCCCGTCTCTGACTCTAGCCCAGCACCCTCCAATGTCAGGACATCAGCATCAGGCAGTGAGGGGAGGCCTGGGTCAGGTCTGGCGCCACCCCTTTCTTCCTCTTGTTCCCCTTGGTTCTGCCTCAGTGTGCATATGGAGCCCAGGCCCTGCAGTCAAACAGACCTGGGTCCAATTCCTGGGCCAGTCCTGTCTTACATCCAAGCCTGGGTTTCCTCGTCTGTAAAGTTGATGATGCTCTAGGCTCCTGAGGCTGCAGTGAGGGTAATTAAGACTCCTGGCCCGGAGGACATGCTTGGTTAGTGTTCCTCAGGGTGCAGGACCAGCCCTGTAGAATCAAGTTGGAAACCTGAGGGTGGTGTCCTCTGCTTGCTGGCAGCTCCCGCTTTGAATCCTGAGGGGAGGGACAGAAGTAAAGCAGCGCTGGGACCCAGGCCCAGGGATGCCCGAGCATAGGAGCCCCGTTTCTGCCCTCCTGTGTCATCCATGGCCTGGACTTGGTACATAGATCAGGGGGTGCCCAGGGAGAGCCTGGCACTGGGAAGGTGGCCCTACCAGGAGAGAAGGTCAGAGGGGCTTCGGACTGCATCGTGCCCCTCCCACCTGCCCGCTAGGTGCCTGGTGCACATCGTCCGCTCCACCTCCCTCAAGTACTCCAAGATCCGCCAGTTCCAGGAGCACTTCCAGTTCGACGTGTGCCGCCACGAGGTGCGCTACGGCTGCCTGCGGGAGGACAGCTGCCACTTCGCCCACAGCTTCATTGAGCTCAAGGTCTGGCTGCTGCAGCAGTACTCAGGTGAGGGGCAGGCGGTGCAGGTGGAGGGCGGGTGTCTCAGGTGAGGGGCAGGCGGTGCAGGTGGAGGGCGGGTGTCTCAGGTGAGGGGCAGGCGGTGCAGGTGGAGGGCGGGTGACTCAGGTGAGGGGCAGGCGGTGCAGGTGGAGGGCGGGTGACTCAGGTGAGGGGCAGGCGGTGCACGTGAAGGGAGCGCAGGACTGACTGGGGGTTACAGGCCAGGGCCCCCTGGTTGCTGGAGGGGACTTCGGGAGGGTTCAGGGGAGGTGGCTGCGGGGTGGGCTCTCTGGAGGAGCTGATGAGTCCCAGGCACCACAGAGGAGAGAAGCTCTGCTCTCAGGACACTTCCAGGCTCGGAGATCTGGGTTTTTCCCCTCGCAGGCACCGTCCAGGGAGCACGGAGAGGGGAGGGAGTCACCTGGGCTCCTGCAGCGATGCCTCTGCTTGCTCCCTGGGGGGTCGCCAGCAAGTCCCTGCTCCTCACTGAGCCTCCAGTGCTCATCTGGGAAACGGGGAGCCCACCTCTACCTCGCAGAGCTGCTGCCGGGACTGGAAGGTGTTCTCCCACTCACCCATCCGGGATTCACTGAGCACCTTCTCTTGTCAGGGCATTCAGCCATGGTCTAGTCGAGGCCCTCAGTTTCAGAGAACCTACATTTATAATTGGAGGCCAGACAGACAATATAGAAACAGGTGACTAAACCCTGTATTCCATCTGTTCTAGGATGCACATTTACCCCCACTGCCTGTCATCATTTAATTAGCAGCATTTTGTGGGGCGGGGGTATAGAATATGGTACTCAGCGTCTGCTTAGAGTTGAGGAAATGCAGTGGTAGAATTTCAGGTGTGCCTCAGCATTATGAGGAAGATAAAGCTGAGCAATGGGACGGAGACAGACACGGGGATGGGAGTGTTTTGGGTAAGGTGGCTGGGAAGGCCTCTCGGAGGAGGCGACTTTTGACCAGGGAAGTGCAGGGAGTGCATTCCAGGAAGAGAGACCAGACTGAGGCTCTGAGGCAGAAGCAAGCTCCACACAGAAAGGATTTTCCCTGGGGGTGGAGCAGCTTAGTCAGTAGAGGCGGAATGAAGCCTGAGAGGTTGGAGAGGCCTGAGCATATAGGAGTCTCTAGGCCTTAAACAGGAACAATTGGGATTGTTCTAAATATGATTTACAGTGTCTGGAGGAGGGTTTTAAGTGGGTGGAGTTGTATGATCTGATCAGTACTTTGCAAAAGTCGCTCTGGCTGCTGGGTAGAGACCGAGGAGCAAGGGCAGAAGCCGGGAGATCGGGGAGGGTGGTTCAGGCCAGGGTGGTGATGTGGGAGGTGGGAGAAGCAGTTCGATTCTGGGTGTATTTTGAGGGTGGAGCCAGCAAGATTTGTTGATGGACCAGATATGAAGTATGAGACAAAGGAGAGTGTCAAGGTCGACTCCAAGATCAGAGCAACAAGAAGAAGGGGGCTACTATGTTCTAAGAGGGAGAAGGCTGTAAGAGGAGCGGCTCAGGCTCAATGTGGGACGTGGGAAGTCTGAGCTGCCTGGTGGACTTCACGTGGAGATGTTGGAGGCAGCGTATGTGGGGGTCTGAAGTTCACAGGAAAGGTCTGGTCTGTAGATACATACTTGCGGATCATCAGCAAGAAACTGGATGTCAAGTGCAGCGTCTTGCCCCAAGTAAACACCGATGATGATTGGCTGTCGTGGAGCAGGGGCCATAGGTCAAGGTGGGAGGCCACATCCGTTGTGGGAAAGACGTGAGAAAGATGGAGAGCGTTGGGAAGAGGGCAGGCTCATGGAAGAGCTGGGAGCTGGATCTCCAAGGTCGGGCTCAGTGGCAACAGTCTGAGGCTGGTGGGGAGACAGACTGGGGGGTCCATGCCACCAGGCTGGGGTATTTGCCCTTTGGGGACTGGCAGTAAAAAGCCAAGGTACCATGGCAAGCTGGTGAGCCAGGCTGGGCAGGCATGGAGCCCTAAGTGCCAGGGAGGCCAGGGGCTGCCAAGCAGGCACTAGGCTTGCAGCCACACTGAGGGAGATGGGGGTCAGGGAAGGGTGCTGAGTCACCGGCCCAGGAGACAGGGTCACTGGCATGGCATGGGAGCAGGGGACTCCCCACCACAGTACAGAGCCAATATCCTTCTACTGCATTTTCCCACTCTTGGCTGCATTTAATTCTTTCACTCCCAGTGAGGCTTGAGAAGGTCTTCGTTCCCATTTTGCAGATGGACAGTGATTCCTTTGCACCCCACATCTTACTGTGACTGGGCTAACTGGGAATAGGGCTCCTCCAGTTGAGCCTCGGGGGGCCCTGGCACCTCGTGGACCCCCCGCCTCCCTCCTTGCTGAGCACCTTGAAAGATGCCTGTGTCTGCCCCCACCCTCCCCAGGCATGACTCATGAAGACATCGTTCAGGAGTCTAAGAAGTACTGGCAGCAGATGGAGGCGCACGCGGGGAAGGCCAGCAGCAGCATGGTAAGGCCTTCTGATACTATGCCATTATTCAGATTTCGTGAATTGTCTCCAAATCCAGGGTAATGTACCACATTCAGCTGTTGGTGTCTCATTTTATTTTATTTATTTTGAGACAGGGTCTTGCTCTGTCACCCAGCCCGGAGTGCAGTGATATGATCATGGCTCACTACAGCCTCGACCTTCTGGTCTCAGGTGATCCTCCTGCCACAGCCTCCTGAGTAGCTGGGATTACAGGCATGCACCACCACACCCGGCTGATTTGTCTATTTTTTAAGACCATGGGGCTGGGGATGTGGGGCTTGCCATCTTGCCCAGGCTTATCTGAAACTCCTGGGCTCAAGCAATCCTCCCACCTTGGCCTCCCCAAGTGCAACGATTACAGGCATGAGCCTTGTTGTGTCTCTTTTTCGTCTCCCTTAATGAAGAAACAGTTCTTTAGTCTTTGCCTTGTGTCACATTGACATTTTTGAAGAGCCAGATGTTTTGTAAAAGGTCCATCCCTCTGGGCTCGTGTGAGTTTCCTCATTCCACAGAGCTGATGTCGTGTTCTCAGCTCACACATCAGGGGATGCATCATCTCAGTGTGTCCCTTCACTGGTGACAATCTAATTAAACTTCTGTAACTTGATTCAAGGTGCCTCCATTGTAAACATTCTCTATTGTAAAATTAGAGCTTTCCTCTTTGTAAGTAAGACTATATTTTCAGGGATCATTTCTTTTTTTTTTTTTTTTTTTTTTTTTTTTTGACACGGAGTCTTGCTCTGTGCCCCAGGCTGGAGTGCAGTGGCGCGATCTCGGCTCACTGCAAGCTCCGCTCCCCCGGGTTCACGCCATTCTCCTGCCTCAGCCTCCCGAGTAGCTGGGACTACAGGCGCCCGCCACCTCGCCCGGCTAATTTTCTTGTATTTTTAGTAGAGACGGGGTTTCACCGTGTTAGCCAGGATGGTCTCGATCTCCTGACCTCATGATCCGCCCGTCTCGGCCTCCCAAAGTGCTGGGATTACAGGCTTGAGCCACCGTGCCCGGCCTTCAGGGATCATTTCTATAATTTGTAATTAATAAATGTCTTCGGGCCGGGCGCGGTGGCTCAAGCCTGTAATCCCAGCACTTTGGGAGGCCGGGTCGGGCGGATCACGAGGTCAGGAGATCGAGACCATCCTGGCTAACACAGTGAAACCCTGTCTCTACTAAAAAAATACAAAAAAATAGCCTGGCGAGGTGGCGGGCACCTGTAGTCCCAGCTACTCGGGAGGCTGAGGCAGAAGAATGGCGAAAACCCGGGAGGCGGAGCTTGCAGTGAGCTGAGATCCGGCCACTGCACTCCAGCCCGGGCGGCAGAGCGAGACTCCGTCTCAAAAAAAATAAATAAATAAAATAAATAAAATAAATAAATAAATAAATAAATAAATAAATGTCTTCGGAGGCCAGGCGCAGTGGCTCACACCTGTAATCCCACCAGCCTTTGGGAGGCTGAGGCGGGCGGATTACAAGGTCAGGAGTTCAAGACCAGCGTGTCCAAAGTAGTGAAATCCCATCTGTACTAAAAACACAAAAAATTAGCCGGGCGTGTTGGTGCGCGCCTGTAATCCCAGCTACTTGGGAGGCTGAGGCAGGAGAATTGCTTGAACCAAGGAGGCAGGGGTTGCAGTGAGTTGAAATTGTGCCATTGACCTCCAGCCTGGGTGACAGAGTGAGACTGTGTCTCAAAAAAAAATGAAAAAAAAGGGGCCGGACGCAGTGGCTCACACCTATAATCCCAGCACTTTGGGAGGCCGAGGCGGGCGGATCACAAGGTCAAGAGATCAAGACCATCCTGGCTAACACGGTGAAACCCCATCTCTACTAAAAGTACAAAAAATTAGTGGGGCGTGGTGGCGGGTACCTGTAGTCCCAGCTACTCTGGAGGCTGAGGCAAGAGAATGGCACGAACCTGGGAGGTGGAGCTGGCAGTGAGCCGAGATCACGCCGCTGCACTCTAACCTGGGTGACAGAGCGAGACTCCATCTGAAAAAAAAAAAAAAGACTTCAGGAGAAATACGCCGAGACCTTGTAAATATCCCAGTACTGCTCAGGCTGACACCACTGATTGTGGTATCCCCTCCCATCCCTCCTGATCTTCGCCATGGTCCTGAAGATGGGAGCCATGGGATTGTGGCATTTGCAGATAGAGAAGCTGAGGCTGAGAGATTGTTAGTGACTTGCCCAGGGGCACACTGAGTGGGGCAATTCCCAGGTTCTCTGACATCCTGTCCGGGGCTCACTCTTCTCCCTCTCCACCTTCAGCATTCTCATCCATCACTCCCAGATGAGGATCAGAACCCTGACCCTCCCATCTCCTGGGGTGGGTGTGAGGCTCACAGGAGCCAACCTAAGCTGCCCTGTGCTCACATCGTCCCCAGGTGGTGGGATCACTGTAACGTAGCTGACAGTGGAGGGCCCTGGGGCTCAGAGGGCTGGGCCCAGCGCCCAGGAGACAGTAAGTGTGAGATGAAGCCTCCATGCCATCCACATGTGAGCACTGACCCTTTCATCCACGTGAGGCCACCCGCTGATTAACTTGGGGGAAGGCTGGGCCCCTGGACCACTCAGGAGGCTGACCAGGGTGTGACAGGGAGCAGGGCAGGCTGCCTGGGGGTCCCTGGGCCAGGCTGGCTGGCAGGGCTGCCCACCACCTCGAGCATTCCCTTGCTCCCTGACCTCTTTGTTCCTGGTCCTCTTCTCTTTTTCTCCCCTCTTCCTGGTCCCTGCTGCCCTCCATCAGTCTCCCGTGCAGTCCTCTTTTCCCCTCCCCGTCTGTTTCTTTTTCCTTCTGGCCAGGAGCTGGCAGGGAAGCAGTGAGGGGCTGATGGCACCTTTCAAAGAGAGAACACTAGCTGGGTGTGGTAGTGCACATGCAGCCCAGCTACGCAGGAGGCTGTGGCAGAAGGATCCCTTGAGGCCGGGAGTTTGAGATAAGCCTGGGCAACATAGTGAGACCCCTCTTGCCACTTGCTATGGCAAGAGCTGGTGAGACTATGCAGTCATGAACATGGGCACGGGGTCTGGCTTTGAGGGAAGAGCTCAGGACTGCAGTGGCTGTCATTAGTGCCGTGGCTAAGCCACCATACCCTCGGTGCCCCCTTTATCCCGCCTGGGAAATGGTAATAATGCCTTCCTGTCACGCTTCTTGTGAGAATCGAGGGGAACACCCAGAAATCAGTAGCCACATGGGTCCACTTCTTGCCTGCTCTAGTGCAGGCCGTCCCGCTCATAAAGGCTTGACCTCACCTTATTACCGGGGTCATACGTGTGTTATCCTGGGGCTGAGCAGCCTGCGAGCTGTCCAGCGCCAGGCCAGGGGTCAGTCAGCAATGAGGACAGCTCCTTCCTGCTCCAGGGCAGGCCCTGGGCAGGGCAGTGCTGGGGACACAGGGGAGTAGGCCACAGCTCCTGCGGGGGAGTTCCTGTGGCAGGAGGATCACGCCCAGCAGCCTGGAAGAGCAAGGGGTGACCCTGCACCCAAGGATCCTGGGAAGACCGGGAGGCTCAAGGTTACACGAGGGAGGAGGGACAGCTGGTGCATTCACAGAGCGGCAGGCTGGCCAGTGTAGCCAGCTGAGGGGGTTCGAGGTGGCAGGAGACAAGGCGGAGCGAGCACTTTTCCCACCTCTGGCTCTCAGCCCTGTCCCAGGGGTGCAGAAGAGCAGGCCAAAGGCTGGGACATAGGGCAGAGAAGGAACGTGGTAGGTGGGGCCTTAGAGACCAGCAAGGCCTTGCCCTGGAGGGAGGGCCAGAGACCAGGGCCACCCAGATGCCTGTCCCACCGCCCAAGGCTGACTCCTGCCACCACCACCCCACCCCCACCGGGGTGGCTTCCCATCTCCCGGACCCCCCACTCTACAGGTTCGGCACTCATAGTCGGGTGAGTTGGTCAACAGGAGCAGTTTAGAGACCGTGGGAGCTCACCGAATGGACAGCTGCAGCTTAGGAGAGCTCCAGGGCCGGCTTCCCACAGGAGATGTGCTTGAGCTGAGTTTTGAAGGAATTTCTAGAACAGGCTGGATGAAGAATGGAGGAAGGGCAGTGAGAACAGCCTGTGCAAAGGCAGGGAGTGTAGCAGAACGGAGCTTTGCCCTGGGAAATGCAGCTTCCACCCAGCAGGCCTCCCAGGGAGTTGGACGAGGCAGGGACCAGCCACAGAGGGTGGAAAGGGGAGCCCCGTTCCAGACCTGGCTCCCCTGAGAAGCCCTTGGGCCTGCCGTTGGGAGGTCACTGCCTGCCAGGAAGACCCTGGAGCAGACCAGCTTATTCCACGGCTCTCCAGGAGGCTACCTGTGTGAAGACCCAGGGCCTCAGGCCTGGTGCCTGCAGCTTCACCAACCCCCCTCCCCATCCCCCGACAGGGTGCCCCGAGGACACATGGGCCCAGCACCTTTGACCTGCAAATGAAGTTTGTATGTGGCCAGTGCTGGAGGAACGGGCAGGTGGTGGAGCCTGACAAGGACCTCAAGTACTGCAGTGCCAAGGCCCGGCACTGGTGAGTGGGATGCCAGGTGGGGGCTCAGGTGGGATGGGGCCACCCGACCACCACAGGTGTGGAGGCCAACTGAGAGAGGCCAGGGCTCTCCACAGAGGTCACACAGCACGCAGGCTGTGCCCTGACCTCTCCCCAACCCTGCTCTGTCCTGCAGCTGGACCAAGGAGCGGCGGGTCCTTCTGGTGATGTCCAAGGCCAAGAGGAAGTGGGTGTCAGTGAGGCCCCTGCCGTCCATTCGCAACTTCCCACAGCAATACGATGTGAGTGCTGGGACGGGGGGCTGGGGGGCCCCGAGGAGGCAGCGATGCTTTCCAGCGGGACTCAGAGGCTCTCCCCATGCCCACCCCGCAGCTCTGCATCCATGCACAGAACGGCCGCAAGTGCCAATATGTGGGGAACTGCTCCTTCGCACACAGCCCGGAGGAGAGGGACATGTGGACCTTCATGAAGGAGAACAAGAGTGAGTGGGCAGACGGGGTGGGCGGGCCCTCCCCCGGTGTCTCTTCGGTGCTGAAAGTCTCAACTCACCAGCGGGCCCAAGAGCGTCTGCTGCACCCCCTTTTGCTGCCTGGGCCCTTCTCCGCCAACCCTAGGCCGGGCCCTGTCTGAGGCCAGGCCCTGAAGCCAAGCAGCCCATCAGCAGGACTTGGGATGCTCATGGCTCCCAAATCAAGTGGGGACCATGGGGCAGAACGGATGGAGAAGCCCCTCAGCAGGTGCCCTGTCTCCCTGCCCCTGCCCAGTCCTGGACATGCAGCAGACCTATGACATGTGGCTGAAAAAACACAACCCAGGGAAGCCTGGGGAAGGGACCCCCATCAGTTCTCGGGAAGGGGAGAAGCAGATCCAGATGCCCACAGACTACGCAGACATCATGGTAATGCCCCTGCCCTGCATGCTCGGGGCTGTGCTCGGGGCTGTGGTTTGGGCTGTGCTCGGGGCTGTGCTCGGGGCTGTGGTCTGAGCCTCACCTGGGAGGGGCAGCCTGGAAGGCCCAGCTGGCCAGCGCTCAGCCTCTCGAGGGAGGTGGTCCGGGCAGAGGTGTGGGGGAGCAGGCACCCACGATGGCTGTGCCCCCAGATGGGCTACCACTGCTGGCTCTGCGGCAAGAACAGCAACAGCAAGAAGCAGTGGCAGCAGCACATCCAGTCTGAGAAGCACAAGGAGAAGGTCTTCACGTCCGACAGTGACGCCAGCGGCTGGGCCTTCCGCTTCCCCATGGGCGAGTTCCGGCTCTGCGACAGGTGCTCCTGGGAGAGCAGGGCCTGGTGGGACATGGGGTGGCCCGAGGAGATGGAGTCTGTGGCCAGCTCTGGCTCGTCTTGGCCTGGAGGTGGTGTGCAGAGGGTGGTGAGGCTTGGCTGTGACTGCAGTCTTGGGGGTGGTGGGGAAGGGTGGATTGGAGGTTTGGGCTCAGACCTATCCAGACCTCTAATTTGCAGCTGTGGGGCAGATCCCAGAGGGGGTCAAGACACCCAGGTTCTCCCTGAGCTGGGAACCAGCTGCCCAGGGAGAGGCTTGTCTTCGGGGAGGTCAAGTGGCTGGCCTCAGACTGACAGCCCGGGGTGGGAAGGGCACAGAGCTCGGGCAGTGAGCCTCCTGCCACCCACAGGCTCCAGAAGGGCAAAGCCTGCCCAGATGGGGACAAGTGCCGCTGCGCCCATGGACAGGAGGAGCTCAACGAGTGGCTGGATCGGCGCGAGGTGCTGAAGCAGAAGCTGGCCAAGGCTCGCAAGGACATGCTCCTGTGCCCACGGGATGACGACTTTGGCAAATACAACTTCCTGCTGCAAGAGGATGGGGACCCTGCCGGTGCCACCCCAGAAGCCCCTGCTGCTGCTGCTGCCGCCACCACCACCGGGGAGTAGGGCCAGGTGTTGGCCATGGGCGAAGTCCTGGGGTCAGGGGTGGGGTGGGGCCAGAAGGCCTGATAGAAGGGTCAGGGCAGGCCAGCGGGGGTGGGGGGCCGCCCTCATCAGGCAGCCCCCAGCCCCCTGAGGCCCCGTCCATCTTCTCCCCACCTCCGCCCCGGTGTGCGTACCCAGGCGCACAAGCTGCAGCCCCCGGAGGCCCCGCTGAAACCTGGGCAGCCCTTCCCCCACCCCGTGGCTCTCCTGGTTGAGGAGGGAGGGGCCTGGCTGACCCCTCCAGCTTCAGCCTCCAGCTTTAACTTATGTCTGCTCCTAATGGGGGCCCAAAGCTCAGGGCTGGGGAGCCTGGGGTCCCCACTTGAATCTGCAGCAGGAGAGTCCTTCGCCCTGGCCGGTCCTCATCCCACCCCCTCCCCCTGGGGGCAAATCAGGACACAACAGAGGGCGGAGGCCCCATTAGCTTTAAAATGTAGCCCCAGGATGGAGCTGGGAACACTGTACTGGTCACTTACCCTCTGGGGCCTCAGCTTTCAGCTTCCCCTCGGGAAGGCTGGGAGGAGCGGGGCTGGAGGATCTTTGGAGCTTAAGGAGTTCCCGGCCTTTCTCTGATGCCACCACCTGAACCCTACTCCCTCGTGGGCCAGTGAAAATAGACTGTAGGTCCTCAGAGCCTTCAGAGATGATCCAGCCCAAACCCCATTTTGCAGAGAGGAAAACTGAGGCCTAGAAGGGAGGAGTGGTCCGCCCAGGGTCCCAGCACAAGGCAGAGCTGGGATGAAAACAGGGCTCAAAAGACTCAGGGCCAATTATTGGCCAAGCCCACGGTCCCCTCAGCAGGGATGTGACGGTCTCTGAATCGGTGTGCAGCTGGGGTCCCAGGCAGCGCTGCCTGGGGGCTGGGGAAGGGAGGCCCAGAGGAGGGCTGGCCATGTGAGCACCCCATGAAGGGACTGCCCCCTCCCAAGGATGGTCTCTTTGGGTGCAGCAGCAGAGGTTGCCTCCCGACATGCACTCTGGGAAAGGTGGCAGAGGGCAGGACACCATGAGCTCAGGATCTGTGTGGGAGGTGGGAAGGGTGAGGGTCTGGAGAATATGGAGAAAAGGGAGGCTTGACCCCGGGCACCATGGGCCACTCCAGGATGGGACACGGCCCCTCTTTCTTGGGGACCCAGTATGTCCTCTCCTCTAGACCCAGACATACATTTATAACCGTCTGTCCTAGCCCCTCCCTAATCCCTGGCCCTACCAGCTGTCTGGGACTCCAGCGGACCCGCAGCCCCTGCCCCCACTCACCAAGGCCTCCCTCGTCCCTCTCGTCTGACATGTCTGTGTGCACCCCCCTCCTCTCCACCCCACCCTCCACGGGCAGATCCACCCTCCCCTGGTTCCCAAGACATTCCAGAATGCCCCACACCATTGGCACAGGAGTGGGGCAGCCCCGGAAGGAACCAGGGATTAGGCTGTAGGGGGGTGAGAAGGAGAGAAGGGACCACCCCACTCTTCTCAAGCAAGGATTGCCAGCGCTCGCTGACGCAGTGATGGGCTGCCCAGGGCTGAAGGGGCCACTGTTCCTCCCACCGCCACTGCCCAACCTTTCCTGATAATTGTGGCATGCACTCTTTCCTCTTCCCTGCCCCACCCCCTGCCCCCAGCAGGCCAGCACTGCACAGTTTGGGTGCTGGTGGTGTGGCTGTAGAGGAGGGGAGACCACACCCAAGGTGGGGGCTGTGGCTGTGTGTGGCCGTGATGTCGATGATACTTGTTTTCCCTGATCCGTGGTGTTGCAGTCTGTTGTCACCAGCCTTGTTTCTAGTGTGTATATATGTCGCCCCCGTGATGCATATATACACAGGTATTAAATATATCGCTCTATATAATATTATATATGTGTGTGGTATCCAAGGAGTCACTTTTATGAGGGCTAAAGATAAAGAATTTGGCCAGAAAATGCAGCCATCCTTGTGTGATTAGGAGGGTTTCAGGGGCCATCGGGCCATTTGCAAGGTGACAGGGACTGGAGCCATGGCTCAGAGGTGATTCGGGCAGCCAGGGGCAGGAGCCACCCTCCCCAGGCCCAGCTCTGCTAGCGTCCCAGACCAGCCCCATCGATTGCGGAGAGAGTGGGAGTGCTCAGGGAAAGAAGGTGATTTGTATTTGTCTCCCCGCTGAAAGGAACAGGATTCAAGTCCAGAGTTTTCATCTTCAGCCTGTGATCTGTCCAGGGACCCTTGGGATCTGGGGCTCCCTGGCCTGGCCAGAGCTGGAGCCCCCACAGGGTAAGGAAGAGAGGGTGGGAGGCAGAGTATGATGGGGAGGAGGGACAAGAAGGCCCTTTTAATGATGAGGGTAACTATTGCTGTTGTGAGCCTCCTAGGGCCCCTGGCTGGGAGGCTCAGAGGGCTGAGTCTGGGACCTGTGTTCCCCGGCAGGCAGGGACAAGGTGGCATGGCAAGCATGGGGGCGGGGTGGGTGGGGAGGGATGCTGCATTTCTCAGCTGGGCAGCCATCAATTTAATGGTCCTTTAAAATGTCTGTGTATTAAAAATTTAAGAATACCACACTTTAATATTAAATATTCATAAGGTCTAGTATCTTGATAATAATGTAGATGTTTTAATAACAATTTTTGTCCTTCTTAAAATAAAATGAAAGAAACTTGCTTCTTTTAGCCTTTGTTCTAGAAAATAAACTTGTGCACTTTGACCTCTGTCCCCGAGGTGTCGCTCCTGTTCCTCCCCACCTGGCACTTATATCCAGGGGCCTTAGCTGCTCTGTCCTCATGGGACAGACCTGGCCCGTGCTAGCTACTCTGAGGAACGCTAAGCATTCCCCGGTGTGAGGGCAGGTCTGTGGCCCTGTGTATACACGGAGGCCAGCTGACCCCGGCTCCGGCAGCATCTCACTGGCAACGACATGCTGCCACTTGCCACCCTTCCCTGGCTCATCCGCAGCTTGCCTGCTTTCAGCCTTCCACGTGGGGCTGCCAGTGGTGCCCACACTTCCCTACACTTATGCTGCAGTGTGCCCAGCTGGGCTCCAGGGCCCGCCTCTGCCCTTTCTGGAGGCGGCTCTTCCAGGAAGGCGGGGGCCATGCCTATGGTCCCGACCACAACCCTGGCTCCTGTGAACCCAAAGGAGACGGAAGTCACATGGGTCCAGTTTCCTCATCTTTAAAAGGAGCTGGCGGGGGGCCCGGCACGGTGACTTATGCCTGTAATCCCAGCACTTTGGGAGCAGATCACCTGAGGTCAGGAGTTTGAGACCAGTCTGGCCAACATGGTGAAAACCCCTCTCTACTAAAAAATACCAAAATTAGCCGGGCATGGTGGCGCATGCCTGTAATCCCAGCTACTTGGGAGGCTGAGGCCAGAGAATTGCTTGAATTTGGGAGGCAGAGGTTGCAGTGAGCTGAGATAGGACCACTGCATTCCAGCCTGGGTGACAGAGTAAGACTCCATCTCAAAAATAAATAAATAAAAGGAGCTGATATATTAGATCTGGAGTTCTCAGGGACTCAGTCTGCTGGGGTGGGAGGTACTTCGTCAAATCTTTTGGATCGTGCATGGCTGCAGGTGATAGCGGGGGTCTCGTAGGGAGGTACTGCTCATGTCCAAGAGCAAGCTCTCCCCAGACAGCTTTTTTTTTCCCTTTTTTTTTTGAGACAGAGTCTCACTGTCACCCAGGCTGGAGTGCAGTGGCATGACCTCGGCTCACTGCAACCTCCGCCTCCAGGGTTCAAGTGATTCTCCTACCTAGCCTCTTGAGTAGTTGGGACCACAGGTGCCCACTACCATGCCCAGCTAATTTTTGTATTTTTGGTAGAGACAGGGTTTCATCATGTTGGCCAGGCTGGTCTTGAACTCCTGACCTCAAGTGATCCACCTGTCGCCTTGGCCTCCCAAAGTGCTGGGATTACAGGCATGAGCCACCATTCCCGGCTTCCCAGGCAGCTTTAAACTGCAGTGTGGAGTGGACAGACAGAGGTTCGGGACCAGAGAATTGCCTGAAGACATTGGGCCAGGTATGCAGTAGATGCTCAGATGTTTGATAAATGATGGCGCGAGGAACAAAAGCAGCCAGCTTTATTGAGCATCTTGTTTGCAGCAGGTACTGTGCAGACAGTACATCCGCCCCTCACAGCAGCCCTGGAAGTTTGCTGTCCATGTTTATAGCCCAGAGAGTTTCAGCGAAGGTTCCAAAGACTCTCAGGAAGGAGGCAGAAAAAAGATCGAGAACCACTGGGAACTGGGTATCGGCAAATGTCCCTTCAGCCCTGACATTCTGGAATTCACAGCACTTCTGGATACACTGTGAAAAACCAAAGTGCCGTGGCAAAGCAGAGTTCCCAGAAGAAAAATACAGACTCATCTTTAGGCTGCAGAGCTCGTGTGCCTGCATCAAGACCTTCCCTGGGTGACTCACTCCTGTAATCCTGCCTTGGGAGATCAAGGCAGAAGGATCACTTGAGGCCAGGAGCTTGAGACCAGCCTGAGCAACAGTAAAACTGTATCTCTACAAAAAAAAAAATAAAATGTAAAATTAGCTGGGCATGGTGGTCCACACCTGTGGTCCTAGCTACTTGGGAGGCTGAAGTGGAAGGTTGGCCTGAGCCCAGGAGGTTGAGGCTGCAGTAAGTCATGATCACAGCACTGTCTCCCAGTGTGGGAGACAGAGCAAGATCCTGTCTCAAAAAAATAAATAAAATAAAGGAACAATTAGAGTAAGACAAGCAGAGGCCAGGCGCGGTGGCTCACGCTTATAATCCCAGCACTTTGGGAGGCCGAGGTGGGTGGATCACGAGATCAGGAGTTCCAGACCAGCCTGGCCAACATAGTGAAACCTCGTCTCCACTAAAAATACAAAAATTAGCTGGGTGTGGTGGCACACGCCTGTAGTTCCAGCTACTCGAGAGGCTGACGTGGGAGAACCACTTGAACCCAGGAGGCAGAGGTTGCAGTGAGCTGAGACCATGCCATTGCACTCCAGCCTGAGTGACAGAGTGAGACTCTGTCTTAAAAAAAAAAAAAAAAAAAAGCAGGACTTCAACACACCTAGTGGAATAAATTTGTAAATTCTTGTCAATTCCCTTAAATTATCTTCTGGTCCTCATGTGACTCAGATTGGTAAACATCAACTGAGCACCCAGTCCGTCCCAGATCCAGGAAATACAAGATTACTTAAGAAACTGCTTCCCCTTCAATTCAGTCAGTGCTAAAAGAGACCGACTTAACAGAAGACTGTAGAATGATGTGATCTGGGTGACAGGGGGGAGACACTCAGGGTACCAGGGGAGGTACCTCATCCAGGCTCAGGAGCCAGGGAGGACTTCCTGGAGGAGGTGAAACTGGAATTGAAGCTTTAAAAAGATTCATCATTGTAATCCATGTCACTTACTGTTCTGCATCTTTCTTTCTCTCTTAATTTTTACTTCACATGTGCAGTTCCATGCACCCGTGTCACCTGGATATTTATGGTCAGTAGCTGGTATTCGTCCTATCGATGAGTCAGAGCTGGCTTCAGCAGCTCCCAGTTACTGAACGCAGGCCTATGTCTGGTCTTCTACAAAAAAAAAAAAAAAATGTAAAATTAGCTGGGCATGGTGGTCCACACCTGTGGTCCTAGCTACTTGGGAGGCTGAGGTGGAAGGTTGGCTTGAGCCCAGGAGGTTGAGGCTGCAGTAAGTCATGATCAGTAAGTCTGTGAGGAGGGGCCTCAGTGAACACGACCAACACAGTGCACCAGCTGCCTCAGCTCTGAACCTTTCCAGAGAAAGCCCTTAACAGTTCTGCAAAGAACTGCATCCATCTATCCCCACACCTGGAAGCCCTTTGCAGCCTCCCTGGGAAATATCTCCCGGTCCTCAGGAAAACGCAGCCAGAGCCACTGGACCTGCTCAATTGATGATCAGTAAGATTATGCCAGCCTCTTCTGGCACCTTCGTTTTGGACCTAGAAGTGAATATGCGCTGCTGGTCAAGGAGGGGACGAGGCACAGGGAACATATTCTTTTTTTTTAAATTTTTTGAGACAGAGTCTTGCTCTTGTCGCCCACGCTGGAGTGCAGTGGTGTGATCTCGGCTCACTGCAAGCTCTGCCTCCCAGCTTCAAGTGATTCTCCTGCCTCAGCCTCCCAAGTAGCTGGGATTACAGGCACGTGCCACCACACTAAGCTAATTTTTGTGGTTTTGGTAGAGACAGGGTTTCTCCATGTTGGCCAGGCTGGTCAAGAATTCCTGACCTCAGGTGATCTGCGCACCTCGGCCTCCCAAAGTGCTGGGATTACAGGAGTGAGCCACTGTGCCTGGCTGAGAACGTATTCTTGGTTTTTTTTTTTTTTTTTTTTTTTGAGACGGAGTCTTGCTTTGTCACCCAGGCTGGAGTGCAGTGGCGCGATCTCCACTCACTGCAAGCTCTGCTTCCCGGGTTCACACCATTCTCCTGCCTCAGCCTCCCGTGTAGCTGGGACTACAGGCGCCCGCCACCACGCCCGGCTCATTTTTTTTTTAATGTATTTTTAGTAGAGACGGGGTTTCACCGTGTTAGCCAGGATGGTCTCGAGCTCCTGACCTCGTGATCCGCCTGTCTCGGCCTCCCAAAGTGCTGGGATTACAAGCGTGAGCCACCGCACCCGGCCGAGAACGTATTCTTGATAAAGTTCTCCCTCAGCCCGGCCTCTCAGCTGCACAAGGCATTAGATGTTCTTATGAGGCCACTGTGACTCTGACTCCGGACTCCTGTCTGGCATTACAGCTCCCCTGCAGAGACATAGCTGTAGGCACAAAGAACACCACATTCCTAGTGAACTAGGGGTAAATACAGTTGATGAAAACTCAAGCACAGGGCATGGGGTGGGCTCAGTGGCATTGATAAGGACACCAACAGACCTCAGACCATCTGCAGTGGACATCAGACACCTGAGCTAGGAAGTCCAAGAAGGGCAGACAATCCCAATACTCCCGGCATGTGGCCCCCATCCAAAGGTCTCTAGGTATGTATATGGCCTTCCCTTCCCACTACCTCTTGCCTCCCTGGCTGCCTGGCCCAGCAACCCACTGGTGTGGTCCCTGTCTGACCTAGGGGATGCTGCCAGCTGGACACTGTGAGTGCCGACTGGGGGCTGCCAATATGGACTCCCAGTGGTGTGAAAGTTCTCTAAGGATAGGGAGTTGCCTGGCTGGGTATGTTATTAAACTTTGAATTCCTCGTGGGGTTTAGGCTGGTGCCAGGTATGTGATAAGCACTCATTCATGGTCTCAGAGGCTTAGGACATTTGCACATTAAAAGGAGCCTGCAGAGGCCAGCGCAATGGCTCACACCTGTAATCCCAACACTTTGGGAGGCTGAAGTGGGTGGATTACATGAGGTCAGGAGTTCGAGACCAGCCTGACCAACATGGAGAAACCCTGTTTCTACTCAAAACACAAAATTAGTCAGGCACAGTGGCACATGCCTGTAATCCCAGCTACTCAGGAGGCTGAGGCAGGAGAATTGCTTGAACCTGGGAGGCGGAGGTTGCGGTGAGCCGAGATCACGCCATTGCACTCCAGCCTGGGCAACGAGAGCAAAACTCCACCTCAAAAAAAAAAAAAAAAAAAAAAAAGGGAGCCTGCAGAGAGCTCACAGGAATGAATCTCCAAGAGAAAAACGTCTTGCAGCAGGTGGGTATGTTTGAGAAATACAGGGTGCTTCGTATTCCTTTTGAGATCGTACTGATGGACACCTGCCCACTCTACCTTTGTGATAAGCAGTCTTGCACTCAAGAGAATTCCTGGGCCAAGGAATGCTGAATGTGGCAGCCCAGCCTCAGTCCGCCCCTTCCTGCAAATCACAGGTCAGCTGGGGGCCTGCACACCAGGCCCACTCTCAACCTTACCTTCACACCCGGGGTTGCAGAGCAAGGGGCACTGGCCAGGGGTCTGGCTGGAAACAGAGCAGTAAGGGGGTCTCTCCTTTGTAGTCACAAAACTCTCTGCTGGTCAAAACACACAACTCTGCAAAATTAAGTGTCTTGTATGTGTGTTATAAATATATACATATATACATGCTTACTTTTTTTTTTTTTTTTTTTTTTTTTTTTTTTTTGAGACGGAGTCTCGCTCTGTCACCCAGGCTGGAGTGCAATGGCCGGATCTCAGCTCACTGCAAGCTCCGCCTCCCGGGTTTACGCCATTCTCCTGCCTCAGCCTCCCGAGTAGCTGGGACTACAGGCGCCCGCCACCTCGCCCGGCTAGTTTTTTGTATTTTTTAGTAGAGACGGGGTTTCACCGTGTTAGCCAGGAAGGGCTCGATCTCCTGACCTCGTGATCCTCCCGTCTCGGCCTCCCAAAGTGCTGGGATTACAGGCTTGAGCCACTGCGCCCGGCCAGAAAGGACATTTCTAAAGTATACTTCATTGAGGCCGGGCACGGTGGCTTACGCCTATCCCAGCACTTTGGGAGGCCGAGGAGGGTGGATCACCTGAGGTCAGGAGTTTGAAACCAGCCTGGCCAACGATGTGAAACCCTGCCTCTACTAATAATACAAAAATCAGCCAGGCGTAATGGTGCGTGCCTGTAATCACAGCTACTCGGGAGGCTGAGGCAGGAGCCTGGTAGGCAGAGGTTGCAGTGAGCTGAAATCCTGCTACTGTACTGCAGCCTGGGCAACAGAACGAAACCGTGTTTCTAAATAAACAAATAAACAAACCTTATCGGAGGTTTTGAGCTTTAAGCCACGTACTGTTTTTTGTATTCAAAAGTTAAAATTAATTTTTAATTAATTTGGGAAAGAGCATAATTTGGGGTGGGTCATTAGGGAGGGAGGGTGGGTAATTAGCGGATAAGCTGGGATCATGGGGAAAGGAAGAAGCCAGAAGGGGCTCCTGGAGTATTTTTGATTCTGTACAAAATGGAATTTTGGGAAACAACAAAGGACTGCTTAGAAACCAGCTACAGGCTGACCAGGTGCGGTAGCTCAGCCTGTAATTCCAGCACTGTGGGAGGCCGAGGCGGGCGGATTATCTGAGGTCAGGAGTTCGAGACCAGCCTGGCCAACATGGTGAAACCCTGTCTCTACTAAAAACTACAAAAATTAGCTGGACGTGGTGGCAGGTGCCTTAATCCCAGCTACTTGGGAGGCAGAGGTAGGAGAATCGTTTGGACCCGGGAGGTGGAGGTTGCAGTGGGCCAAGATAAAGTCATTGCACTCAAACCTGGGGGACAAGAGCAAGACTTCTCTCAAAAAAAAAAAAAAAAAAAAGGAAGGAAGGAAAAAGAAAAGCCAGCTACAGGCCAGGGGCAGTGTCCACACCCGTAATCCCAGGACTTTGGGAGGCCAAGACCGAAGGATGGCTTGAACCCAGGATTTGAGACCAGCCTGGGCAACAGTGAGCCCCTGTGTTTACATAAGAAAAGAAAGTCCAGTGGGGCAGCATGCAGCACATGCACCTATAGTCCCAGCTACTTGCAAGCATAAGGCAGTGAGCCATGAGCCCACCACTGCACTTCAGCCTGAGCAACAAAGACCCTATCTCAGAAAAAAAAAAAAAAAAAATCTGCTACCATGCAGAAAACCAAACATTTACTGCAGCCCACCTGGAGCTTCAGAGCCACAGAACTAGAGCTGAACAGCACCTTAGAGGCCACTACATTAGGTGGTTCGGCAACTGAGACCCAGAATTGCTGCTAAGCTTCCTCAAGATCCCACATCAATGTATGGCAGAATCGAGAACCTGGCATCCCGACAAGTCTGGCTTTGCTCTGATGCTGGTCTGAGGTGGACGGTGACATCCAGAACCTTGGCTTCACCCACACATCCAAGTAACCCGAAGACCACAGGGGCCAGCGTCCTGCTGGGAAGGTATGAGAGGGGACCACAGCAAACAGCCAATTGGCACCTTAAGTCCCCACGATGACTGGGAAGCAGGGATTCCTTATCCAGGACAAGCCTGAAGCAGGCTGGCAGAGCTGCCCCCCTTTCAGTGGTGCCTGGTCTCCTGGCACCTGCCCCTATTCCCCTCTCCCCTGAAGACCAAAGAACCTCAGGCCGTAGGTTTTGTCACTTCCTTTTGGGGAACAGGCTTCAGGCTGTGTAGAGGGTATAAAGCCCCAGTTATGCATGCCACATATACACTGGCGTGCCTTGTAGGGTAAACGTGCAGGGCATAAACACAGCATCAAAACATGCCACAAGCCCTTGAGGCTCACGAGCTCATAGGAGAAGGCATGATGCCCACCCGCGTCCCCGCATCTGCCAACACAGGGTATCTTGTGCTGGGCTGCCTGAGGTGCTGTCCTTGCCTGTCATCCTCCTTTTCTCTTGCAGCCTTAGGTCCCAGCCCGGGATGGTTTCCACTGCGTGCCTGGGCCTCCAGGGCTCCTCCGTGCCGATGCATGCTTGCTGTGGGCGTGGAGCTTACCATTCTCACCTGGCAGCCCCAGTTATGGCTCCCAGCCTGGGGGAGAACTTCCCTTTCCAAAGTTAGATAACAGGCTGAGCTCTCTGTCAGAGGATTGGCGCGACAGCTCCACGTGCTGCAGCTGGCGCAGGGCCAGGCCCGCCCTGCCAAGCAGCGGGAAGGGAAGGCCTGGCTGCAGCCGGAGCTGGCAGGTGGCCAAGCCGGGGGTGGACGGGCGGGCCGGGACTGGTGCTGGCCATTGGCTGCCTCAAGGCTCCCACCCCGCCTGCCTCCCCTTAGCCTGCGGCTTTGGCCGGCCCCTGCCTCTCCAGCTGCTTCTGAACTCCCTGGAGCAAGCACCTCCTGCTGGGCTGTGTGAGCTGCGACCGGTTCCCAGTGGCCCCTGCCATGGACATGCCTGAGGTCCTCAAGTCCCTGCTGGAGCACTCTCTGCCTTGGCCAGAGAAGAGAACAGGTAGGAGCGCAGGTGACCGGCAATGGCTGGCTGCCCAGGTACTCGAGGGTGCGAGGGGGCAGCCACAAGCACAGTGGCAGGACACGCATCTCCAAGCCAGGGAGGGTCCCGGTAGTGGTGTGTCCTTGGTCTCAGGGTGCAGAGTGCGGAGAGGGGTTCGAAGAGGCATATGTCACACCGGCTCTGGGACTGTTTCCTAGGCCTGCCGGATTTGGGGAAGCCATGGCCAGTGTGTGGCCACTGACAGGTGCTGTGCTCATGTGGGACCAGGACAGGACAGGACAGGACGGGGGTCCTGTTGAAAGAATCTGGCTGGACGCTGACTGTTTATGAAGCTCCCTCCCGCTGTAGGCTGGGGGTGGCAGAGTGGCAGGGACTGTGGATTTGGGGAGCAGAAGCCTGGGTCTGAAGCAGAGGCTTTCCTTGGTGCGCCTGCTGCAGCTCCCGCTTGCCGGAGGGCTGAACTCATGGATGGGATGGAAGCTGTTATGTAACAGGACCACAAGGCTCGAAGCCCTGCGTTCCTAGGATGCCACAGGCAAAACACGCGCGAGGGAGGAGAGAGGAGGGCGTGGACCACGGGGCAGACCTGGTGGCCAGCACCAGTTGTCTCCTGAGTCCTGCCTGGGAACCCCATGGCCAGATTAGTTTGGGAGAGAATCCTGATAAATCTCTCTCCAAATCTCTTCTGTTCCCAGACTTCAGGGGTCACCCCCAGGTCCCCAGGGCTCCAACTCCTCCTTGCCTTTACAGGGGCCCATTGGCCTCTGCTGCCTGAGTCTGACTTGGGTGCCTGGGGTGTCCTCTCAGGGGACCTTTCTCAGGCCTCCCTCTCATCCTGCTGTGCCAGCACCTGCTACCTAGCATCACCAGGTGGCCCTGGTGGTCCCTACAGGACTTCCTTCCACAGGATGCTCTCAGCCCATTCCCAAACCAGAGCCAGGAGACAGACCCCACAGCCCCTGGCCTCCCTTCACCCCTCTGGCACCGGGTGTGGGTTTGCTTGTGCTAAACCAGGAAAGGAGGGTCAGCAGGTTCTGTTCCTAAGGACACATTGCCCGAATGGGGAAGGGGGTTCTGGGAGCTCAGGGCAGGGGCTCCTGAGCTCTCGCATGCAGCTCTGGGCTCAGGCCCCTCCAATCACACCCCATACTGTCAAATGCTGGGACACTCCAGGCCACCCTCCAAGATGAGTGTCACAGAAGGCGCTCCTGGGGCCTCCTAGAACTGGGGACACCAGTTGTTCACCAGGAGAAGGCCACCTCCTCAGGGAAGCCCTCTGCAACTCAGCCCGAGGGATCTGCCCCCGTTTGGAGTCCACACCCACAAACAAGCCATAGCTGACTTTTTTGGCATCTCTGAGTGGCCTGTGAGGGTTGGCAGAGCTGAGCACCTATCCAAAAGCTAAGGTGGACGGTCCCCTCCTTGTTCCAGGAACCCAGGAAGGGTGGTGCAGCCGCTCCTGGCTCCCCTCAGGTGTCCCAGGATGTCCCCCAGCACGCACACGAAGGGTGAGGCTGCCAGTGCGGTAGGGAGGATTCTCAGGGGCGACTCGGGGCACTGTTCCTCAGATGAGGATAACAAGGCCTTTGAAGTGTGGCAGCAGCTGCCAGGCTCTGGCTCCCAGCTGGTCTGCAGAGCCCTGCAATAGCCGGAAAGTCCCCCTCCCTCACTGTGGATGAGCGAAGTCAGGGCCTGGCACATAGGGGACCGCCCAAGGTTTCAGGCAGAGCTTTGCCGAGCACTGGCAAGCTGTGGCCGAGAATTAGTTAGTCCAGCGTGGCTGGGCAGGTCCAACGGGTGTGGGCCAGTCTTGGGTCACCTCCTGTCCCTTCATGTGGTGTCTCACTGAGGGTGAGAAGCATGAGGTCCCACGGGACTGACAGATGCCTGCAGCCAACTGCTAGATAAAATGGGGGGAAGAGGGTTGAAGAGCCACAGGGGTCACAACGACCGCAGCACATTCTTGCCCCCTAATCTGCGATCAGTTTCCCAAAGCCGCCCGAATCTCCAGACCATTTGTAAACACAAATGTCTACCTGAAAAGCAATAGACCTTGTTGAAAAGAGGGTATATCCGCCACACAGAATGATTACGGAATTACTTGCCATTGGGGACCATGTACTTAAGTTGTTGTTGAAGCAGCTTCTCTCCCATCTCCCACTGCTCTGACTTTGGGTTTGAATGGGAGAAAGATGACAGAGACCAGGTGCTCCAGAAAACAGGGATGCCCTCAGGCCCGCGTGCCCTTGCTTTGGTGGACTTCCTGCTGCTCCCGTCCAGTGGAAGGGGGCAGTTATCTCTTTGGAGGACTGTTTACAAACTCCCCATTTTCTCTTCTTTCACTTGCCCCGTGGCTGTGCTTCAGCACGCATTTAGGTCACGTGCAGAGCGTATCTCGCCTCCTGCGGGAGGGAAGTGTACTGGAAAGCCGTGCGGAGTGTGTGAAACTCCAGGTGTGCTCTCTGCTCTCTGCTCCATGCAGTCTCTCACTCCACTTTCATTTTCTTTCTTTCCTTTTTTTTGAGACAGAGTCTTGCTCTATCGCCAGGCTGGAGTGCATGCAGTGGTGCAATTTAAGCTCACCGCAACCTCCGCCTCCCGGCGGAGAGAATTCAAGCAATTCTCCTGCCTCAGCCATCCAAGTACCTGGGACTACAGGTGCCGCCACCATGCCAGGCTAATTTTTGTATGTTTAGTAGAGACGGGGTTTCACCACGTTGGCCAGGATGGTCTTGATCTCTTGACCTCGTGATCCGCCCGCCTCGGCCTCCCAAAGTGCTGGGATTACAGGCGTGAACCACAGCGCCCACTGTTTTTTGTTGTTGTTGTTTGTTTTTTTAGACATTGTCTCACTCTGTTGCCCAGGCTGGAGTGCAGTGGCGCAATGTCAGCTCACTGCAACCTCCACCTCCCATATTCAAGCAATTCTCCTACCTCAGCCTCCTGACTAGCTAGGATTACAGGCACCTGCCACCACGCCCAGCTAATTTTTGTATTTTTAGTAGAGACGGGTTTCACCATGTTGGCCAGGCTGGTCTCAAACTCCTGACCTCTAGTGATCCAGCTGCTTCGGCCTCCCAAAGTGCTGGGATTACAGGCGTGAGTCACTGCACCCTGCCCCATTTCGTTTTCTAGTTCGATGACGCCCCTTGAAACCCAGACTTGGAGCCCCTCTCCCTAATGCTGCCCCTGGGCCTCCCAGCCCAGTCCATGTAGACCTTCCCTCTTTCCTGTCCCTGGATAAACAGACTTTCTCTGCCAGAACTGACCAGCTCCCAGACTCCCTTGGTTTCCAGCGACAATGGCTGCTTGGTAGCCTTCACTCTAGGTCATGAGTTCAAACAATTTCCCTTTTGGTAGAGAAATCCATTTCCAGCAAAAGGGTGGGTCTGTAGCCCAAGCCCTGACTCAGTTTCCCCTCTCTGTCCCTGGGACCTAAATCCTGAAAGCCACTCTTCCTGTCTTCACTCCCACCCTGTCTCCCAAGGATCCTTTTCCAAGAGTCGATTCTGTTCCAGAATGCTCACTCCAGCTCTCACGTCTTTCTCTTCCAGCTTCTGGAAAGACACGCGTCTCTAAATCATATGATTAGCATTTTATACCCTATCCTTCCCTCTCCCGTGGGGCCTTGGCTATGCTTAGAGATACCCCTCCCATTTTCCTGTCATCTCCAGTCGCTCAGGCCTCCATTTCAGGGAGTTATGGAGCCTGAACATACAGCTCGAAGGCTGAACAAGGCCTTTGCTTTGGGCTGGGCAGGTGGCATCCCCATCTAGGGGCACTCCTGATCTAGAATCCTTTCTGGACAAGGCAGCATGGCCCTGGGAAGAGAGCAGGGGGCTTATGATCAGAGTCAGGACACAAATCCTAATTCTATCACCCACTGGTTGGGACTTGCCCCCCTCTCTCTCCATCTCCAAACTTTAAAAAGCAGAAAAGAGTATCTGTGTCACGAGCTTGTTGCCAAGATTAAGTGAGCTGTCCCATGTGAAAGCGTCTGCAAACCGTGAGGTGCCGTGCTGATTTTTTCTGTGAAAGGCAAACAGCAGCGTGGCCTGGCATCGTGCGCCTTCTACCTACATCCCACTTGCAAACTGACCCTCATTCCCTTCTTTCCACCTTCCTTTGAAGAACTGGATATTACAAGTTGGTGCGTACACACACACACACACACACACACACACACACACACAGAGCTGTCTCCTTGGAAACACGTGCTGAGGCTCCTAGAGGCATGGTGCCACCTGCCCTGCATGCAACAGGACAGCCCCATTTCATAACAGGCAGGATCTCAGCAGGACTTGCTGGGGCAGAGGCAGGGGTACAGGAAGAGAGCGCCTTGGTGTCATCCTCTTGGTGGATTGAGACAAATGAGCCAAGAGGGTGGACTCGGTGCAGCCTGGGCTCTCCTGAGCTTGGCCTGAGTAAAGGGCCCTGTGTTTGCCTCCATGCACAGCCTGGGAACCAGAGCAAAACTGAGAAATCGAGGAGTTTGCTTTCAGGGATGAGGATAGGGGAGAGGGCCTTCTACGTGCTGGACATGTTAGCTCGTTTAATCCTCACTACCTCCTTCTAAATGGTATATTTCCCCTGTTCTTCTGGTGAGAAAATGAACTCAGGGACACTGGCTACCCTCAGGGCCAGTCTCTCTCTTCTTTCTTCCCACCCTAGGAGCCCAGAGCCTTCTTCTCTACCTGCCCCCCACCCCACCCCTTCAGAGAAATGTGAGAAACAAATTCTCACCAAGTGCCAGGCATTGATGGCAGTGTCAAGGCGTGCTCCTTCCAGATGGCTAGGATGCTACAGGACGGGCTCCTGACTTGACAGCCACCATCTCCTGAGCATGTGCCAGGACTGTATTGCGTGCTCCTATGTCATTATCTGTGCAATGGCTCTGTAAGGAAGGTATAATCATCCACTCTGCAAATGAGGACATCAACGCTCAGAGAGGGAAGGCCACACAGTTGTTGAAGGATTCAAACCCAGTTCCTCCTGACACCAGGCTCGTGCCTACCCATAGGGTTCTCTGGGCTCTGAAAGCATGCCTCGGGCGGTAGCTCTTGGTCGCCCAGCCACTCATCATGTGCTTCCAGAGCATTTGCTATGCTTGGGGAGCCCGGGGTGAATGAAACCAACTCTACTCTTGCTCCCCTGGTATTTGGATTCTAGAGGGGAGACACAATCAGCTGTGTTTAGGCAGGAGGCGCTGGTGGTCAGGACCAGCCTCTCCTTCAGTGCTGAAGAGAAGAATGCTTTTAGCACTTTTGAGAGTACTGATGAGGAGGGCAAGAATCAAAGAGCCTCCACCCACCACTTCTCCCCTGGAACACACTGAGACCAAGGTACAAACCACAGAGCCCAGCCACAGGCATGTGGGCTAAAAAGGAGAGCTGCTGGCAAGGCTTGTGCGGGCAGACTTGCCGAAGGATGGCTCATGTTTGCTGTTCCAGGTTCAATTGTGAATCAAACACAGTGACTGTTATTTAACATTATTAATGCTCCAAATGCGTATCACTTAGCTCTGAAAGGTTTGGTTAACTGTTCTACTAGCACCAAGAACAAAGCAAGCCAACAAATATTTACTGATGGGGTGGGAATTTTTTTAAAGAAAGTCCGCTCTGTCGCCAGCTGAGTCAGTGGCGATCTGTACTGCAAGCTCCGCCTCCGGTAAGCCAATAGCTGGACTGGCGCCCGCCACCTGCATTTTTTGATTTTAGTAGAAAGGGTTCACCGTGCTCGATCCTGACTTGTGATCGGCTCGGCCTCCAATGCTGGATACAGGCTGACACTGCCCGCTGGAATTTTTAAAAAAAAAAAAAAAAAAAAAAAAGAATTACTGATACTACCTGAACAAACACTGGCCTCCTGCATTTATTGGCAAAACACAATACCGCTAGGCCATGGGCCATCACCTGTCCCATGCCATTTTCAGTAACTCAGAAAACAGAATGGGACTGTTCTACTAGGCGCTGAATACATGCCCAAACAGATCATTATAGGGTATCTGGCCAAAGGCTCCTGTGTTGGACTTTTAGCTCCTCTAAACTTCAAGTTTCAGTAAAAATAATCCAAACTGGCAAAATGGCTTCATGAAAATCACTTATTCTGCATATGCTCAACTGACAAAGTTTTTGTTTTGTTTTTGTTTTGTTTTGTTTTGTTGAGACAGAGTCTCACTCTGTAGGCCAGGCTGAAGGGCAGTGGTGCAATCTCGGCTCACTGCAACTTCCACAGTGATTCTCCTGTCTCAGCCTCCAGAGTAGCCGAGATTACAGGTGCCTGCTACCATGCCTGGCTAATTTTCGTAGAGATGGGGTTTTGCCATGTTGGCTGGTCTTGACCTGCTGGCCTTAAGTGAGCCACCCGTCTCAGCCTGCCAAAGTGCTGGGGTTACAGGCATAAGCCACCGTGCCAGGCCTGAACAAAGTTTTTAGCTTGGGCTGGTTAGCAGGTTTCTGGAACAGTAATGACTAGAATATACAGCCAGTCGTCTAGCTCTGGAAAATGGACATTTCACATCCAACCTTGTCTGTGGTTTAGACTCTAAACCCACCCTCAGGCCCGCAGCCTTGTCCTCATACCCAGAATAATTCTACTCCTGACCCAACACAGCTTGAACGGGAGGGGAAGGGTGGGTACCCACCCACTCCACACTGTATACCGTGCCAGGCAGGCACCTGGCATCACACATCACAGGTCATCCTCACAGCCACCCCGTGAGGTGGGCATATCCATCTCTGTTTCCAAGGGAAAGTAACTGAGGCTTAGGAGAAGTCGCTTGCCCACCGCCATGTGGCGGGGTCAGCAACTGAGGAGGGTCTCCCCACAAAGTCACTGCTGTCCCAGGACCCATGCTTCCCTAAAGAAACCAGTGTGGTTTTGTTTCTTGTTTTTTGTTATTTGGAGACAGGGTCTCTCTCTGTCACCCAGGCTGGAGCGCAGTGTGGCACAATCACAGCTTACTGCAGCCTTGATCTCCTGGGCTCCAGCAATCCTCCCACCTTAGCCTCCTGAATAGCTGGGGCTACAGGTGCACTACCACACTCAGCTAATATTTTTTTCTTTGAAAAAATGGAACGCTTCACGAATTTGCATGTCATCCTTGCACAGGGGCCATGAGAATCTTCTCTGTATCGTTCCAATTTTAGTATTTGTGCTGCTGAGGCGAGCACATCAGGCTAATTGTTTACTGTTTGTAGAGATGAGGTCTCACTATGTTGTCCAGGCTGGGCCGCTGTTCCACATCATACCTTTATTTTTCTCTCTTTTTTCCCCCTGAAAAACCTCTCTAATCTCTCAGCCTTTAAAGTCTTAATCATGTAATAACATGTTCTTCTTAAGGGGTTTATTTCTTATTTTTTTTTTTTTGAGACAGAGTCTCGCTCTGTCTCCCAGGCTGGAGTGCAGTGGCATGATCTCGGCTCACTGCATGCTCCTCCTCCCGGGTTTACGCCATTCTCCTGCCTCAGCCTCCTGAGTAGCTGGGACTACAGGTGCCCGCCACCACGCCCAGCTAATTTTTTGTATTTTTAGTAGAGACGGGGTTTCACCGTGTTAGCCAGGATGGTCTCAATCTGCTGACCTAGTGATCCGCCTGTCTCGGCCTCCCAAAGTGCTGGGATTACAGGCGTGAGAAACTGCGCCCGGCCGGAGTTTTCTTTCTTTGTAAGGCTCACAGACTATGGAAATTAGCTAACTACTTCTCTCAACATTTATACCCCCACTAAGATGGGGCAAGGTCACACCATTATTCCCACTTTAGTGATAGGAGGCAGACATAGAGAGAGGCCGCTGTG